TTAACCTATGGCCCATGAGCCCCACGAAGACCTTGGATGAGCTTAAAGGGATACTGACCCAAGGACTATATCTATATTGGCTTCCCTCCTAACATCTTTAAAATGTTGAAATGCATTTTTCCTGGGGAGTGGAAGGGGCCATAGCTTTCCTTAGATTCTTAAAGCAGTCCATGACCTGCCCAAAAGGTTAAAAACCTGTAGACTGTGATTTTGGCAATTTCTGCGTGATTTTTACTTCTCTTCCCCCCTTTTTTTGAAAAAAGCTGAGTCACTGTGAGAAGTGCAGATTCCAGCCATACTAAGTAAATCTCAGGTGTTGACCTCTGTGTCATTTTTTTCCTATTAATGTTTAACCTTTGGACGTGTTGCTATAGACAAAGAATAATCTTTTGTATAAGGAACTATGGTGTTCCTAGGTAGCAAATGCCTGGATGTTCTTATGTCTAAGGCCTTTGTTTTGATCCAGCTGGGCTTTTATTATCACATAATTGTGTTGTCATATATACTTCCTGGCTATATCTGCTCTTATAGCAGTTTAACTATCATGACTTAATCCTATGTTATTCTGGAATTGATCTGAGTGTTGGACTATAAATCTGGAGATCAGGGTTCAGTTCTCCAATCAGCCATTAGAAGGCTACTGGTTAACTGTGGGCAAATCGTGCTTCATGTTGTGGTGACCCCCAACCATAAAATTATTTTCATTGCTACTTCATAACTGTAATTTTGCTACTGTTATGAATCGTAATGTAAATATTTGATATTTACATTATGATTTTCATTCACTGGACCACATTTGGCACAAATACCTGATATGCCCAAATTTGAATACTGGTGGGGTTAGGGCGGGTTGTCATTTGGAAGTCGTAGTTGCTGGGATTTATAGTTAACCTACAATCAAAGAGCATTCTGAACTCCATCAATGATGGAATTGAACCAAACTTGACACACAGAGCCCCCATGAGCAGCAATAATAATAATAATCATAATAATAATAATAATAATAACAATACTTTATTTGTATACCACTTAGGCCTGGGTAACAACGGAAAAATTTGTTTCTAAAATCGATTCGTTTTTTGGGGGGTTTTGCGTTTCGATATTTAAAAGAATTCCGAAATTTTTCTTTTAAAAAGTTCGATATTTACGAAATTTCGTAAATGTAAAAATACGAAACATTAACGAAACAATTACGAAACAATAACGAATCGATTCGTTAATGGCGGACGCGACCGCGCAATACGCTAAAAAACCTCCAAATGGGACAGGGGGAACTTCTGAAGCTTCCCTCTCCCTCTGTTGTTGACTGTTGGTGTGATATTATATTTTTTTCACTAATTAAACAAAAAACAACTATAAAACTTGCCCCAGACATGCGGAAATAATAACGAAACGACTTCAAACCGATAACGAAACAAATACATAACAAATTCCGAAGCATTTACGAAACGAATTGAAAAATTCGTTTCGTTTTTAAGTTACTCCAGAATGGTTCGTTATCGCTTCGTTAACAAAAAAAAACGAATTTTTAACGAATTACGAATTAACGAAACGAAACCGCCCAGACCTAATACCACTCTATCTCCCCGAGGGAACTCAGAGCAGTTCCCAGGTAAAAATCACAGAACATACAAAGTAAAAACAACATAATCATAAGATTAACAGTACAAAATATGCATAAAAATTGTCACCATAACACACATATATTAAAAGTAATCCTGCCTGTTCAAGGCAATTAATTTTAAAGGCCAGGCCAAGATTTGTGCAAGCACAAAAATTCTAGGGGGCCCGGGAATTAAATGCAATGCTATGGCAGGCAACAATAATATTAGGTACGGGTCTGTGGCTGTTCATTCCAGGGCCGACTAGAGGAAATGATCTGGGTAATTGGTAGGAAGAATAAGGTAATATTCAACAATGTCTAGGGCTGAACTACCTTTAAGACAGTTCCTTAACTCACTACTTTGTTGATTTTTTTTAGAACACCACATCTCCTCCCTTCTTCGTTCCCTTCCCTGGTTTGTATCAACCCGCCCTCCTCTTTTTTTATCCTGCTGCTCGAACTTGTAGTCCCACCCCCCCCTCTCTCCTCCTCCTTTTTCCTCCCACTTTTGCTGGGACAGTGAGCGCGATGCTCTTTGTCCCCTTCCGCCTTGCGTGTTCTTTTTAGGATAATATTAGGTATGGGTTATAAACACTTGTTCATTCCGGGGCCGATTAGAGGAAAGAATCTGGGTAATTGGTAGGAAGAATAAGGCCGTATTCGACAATGTGTAGGGCTGAGTTAGAACTGGTCATTTTCAAAGGCTTGTTGAAACCACCAGGTCTTCAAGCTCTTACGAAAGGAGAGGAGGGATGGGGCCTGTCTTATTTCCCTTGGAAGGGCGTTCCAGAGGCGGGGGACCACCACTGAGAAGGCCCTCTTTCTCGTCCCCACCAACCGCGCTTGAGACGGTAATGGGACTGAGAGGAGGGCCTCCCCGGAAGATACTGGAGGTCTTTGGAGAAAATTCACCTTGATTTTGTGGAGTTGTAGTTCACCTATATCCAGAGAGCTCCCATGACCAACAGAAAATATTGGAAGGGTTTGATGGGCATTGACCTTGAGTTTTGGAGTTGTAGTTCATCTACATCCAGAGAGCACTGTGGACTCAAACAATGATGGATCTGGACCAAACTTGGCATAAATACCCGATAAGCCCAAATGTGTACACTGGTGGAGTTTGGGGAAAATAGATCTTGACATTTGGGAATTGTAGTTGCTGGGATTTATGGTTCACCTACAATCAAAGAGCATTCTGAACTCCACCAACAATGGAATTGAACCAATCTTGGTACACAGAAAATACTGGAAGAGTTCAGTGGGCATTGACCTTGAGTTTTGGAATGTTAGTTCACCTACACCCAGAGAACAGGAGGGGGGCTTTTGGTGGGAGGATTTGCCATCTGTTTCCAAAAAGGAAGAGAAGGACAGACAGAGAGATCTTCAGTCTTCTCTGCCAAAGGGGTTCCTAAGACCATCAGAAATATGTGTATTCTGAGGGTCTTTGATTATCCCTCTGTAACCCCCCTCGTGACCCCCGCAGGGGTCTCGACAACCAGATTGAGAAATACTGCTGTAAAGGAATCAAAATATCCAATTATGTTTTGACATTATAACAAGATAAGGAAATGAATCATTTTGTAAACAATAACACAAATAGCAGGAGAATCTCTTTTTTTAAAAAAAAATAACTTTCTAACCTTAGTATTGCAGCTCAGTATTTCATGTAATGGGGAAGAGGGTGCAAAAAGAGGCATCAAGTAAGGGTTTTGGCAATGAGATGACATTTCTTGTAAAGTCTTATTTATTTTATTTATTTTATTTGCTTTATTTTTATACCGCATTTTCAGCCCAAACAGGCGACTCTTACTTCTTGTAAAGGATTTCTTTTTCATTTGCAGAGCCAAGAGGAAAATTAAAAGATTCTTTACTGCAAATACAGTAATCCTTTAAGGGCAAGCATCACCAAATCACTCATATAAAAGTCTCATAAATGTTTTAAACAGATCTGAAATGGGCCACATTTCTTTTTTTGTTTTTAATGAAAAGTTGGAATTTTCTGGGCTTTTGAGGGTGACCTTGGCGGATGGGAATTGTGGTTCCCCGGTGCTTGGAAGCTTTGCTAGCACCCTTGATAGCTGCCAAAGGGTTCTCAGCAGCACTAAATCCACTCAAATTGGAGCTGTCATTGTTCTTTCCTTTGGCTGCCGTCTGCATTCCGCTCTGCAGGCTACCTCTCCGAATCATCCACTGTCATTCTTAAAGAGATGAAAGATTATTTTGTTCAGAGTTAACTCCAACTAGGGGATTCTTCTGTTTTCTGGGCTTCTGACATATAAAGAATGTGCTCTGACCTTTTGAGTCCTTCGAAGATATTCCTGATCTTAAATTACCTGGCTTTAAAAACATTTTAGAATGATGGTAGTCAGTGTGATTGAAGAAATCTGGCAGAACAATCCTATGCAGGTCAAGGGGGGGGGGTGGTGGGGGGGGAGTCTATGGATGAGACTTGGGCTCATGCCAGCCAACGCAGCAGAAGGGAGAATTCATTCCCACTGTTCTCTCCATAGAGCTGGGAAAGAACTAGGTATGAATACTAAATTATTTGTAATTACCGTCTTTTTCCAATAAAGAAAAAAGCATTGTGATTTTTTTCTTTATTGAAAAGACTGCTTTACCTAGATATATAAAAATCAGTGTGTGTGTGACTATACCACAAATGCTTTTGCTAGGTGAGGTGTCCCTCTGTGATGTCACTGAATTGGCTGCTGCTAGGTGAAGTGGCTCTCTGTGAGGTTACTGGGAAAGAAAGGTGACACCTTTATGAGATGAAGGAAGGAAGAGGAGGGGAAGAATGAAGGAAGAGAATGATTATATAAGGCCACTGTAGTCCATGCTCTCGTTACATCCTGTATAGATTACTGCAATGCACTCTACGTGGGGTTGCCTCTGAAGACTGCTCAGAAGCTTCAACTAGTCCAACGAATTGCAGCCAGATTGCTCACCGGAACGAGGTACAGGGAGCACACAACCCCTCTGTCACGTCAGCTCCACTGGCTGCCAATTAACTACCGAGCACAATTCAAAGTGCTGACTTTAACCTATAAAGCCATAATAAGTTCTGGCCCTGTCTGAACATATCTCCCTCTGTGAACCACCAAGGAGTTTAAGATCATTGGAAAAGGCACTGCTCTTGGTCTCACCACCCTCGCAAGTGCAACTGGTGGGGACGATGGACAGGGCCTTCTCGGTGTTGGCTCCCAGGCTGTGGCACTCTCTCCCAAATGATATCAGATCTGCCTCCTCCCTCCTGACCTTTTAAAAAAACAGAAAACCTGGCTTTGGGATCAAGCTTTTGAGCAATAGATACAGTGATTGAATGAGAATGACCTATGCGACTGGCAATGGACTAATTCTGGATCATGATTTTAAACTTTTTTGGCACTTTCCCTTTCAGGTTTTATTGGCTGCTAAATTTAAGTTCAGCCATTGTGTTTGTCAGCATTTCATACATCCAGCAGTCAGTGGCCAAAAACCTTGGTTTTCTTATTCCCTTTGTCTCTGTCCTGATGGCTCTGATCACAATTCACATGGCACACAGTGAAATGATTTACCAGCCACCAAAAGGTAAGTGTTATGTGATAAATCCATGTGTGTGTGTTTAAATCAAACCGGTTGTTTAGGAAACATTTGAGTTTTTAAAATTATAATCTGAAATCTACTAATTTTGTACACAAGGAGCCTTAGAAATTGTGTACATGGCAAAGTTATTCTCTGACATACCACAATCAGATCAGACAGTTTGTCAGTGTCTTGATTGCTGACCATCAAGACAACGTATTCTTCAACATCAAACAACACCCGATACTGGGTTGCTGTGAGTTTTCTGGGCTGTATGGCCATGTTCCAGAAGCATTCTCTCCTGACATTTTACCCACATCTATGGCAGGCATCCTCAGAGGTTGTGAGGTCTGTTGGAAGCTAGGCAAGTGAGGTTTATATATCTGTGGAATGTCTAGGATGGGAGAAAGAACTCTTGTCTGTTTGAGGCAAGTGTGAATGTTGCAATTGGCCACCTTGATTAGCATTTAATGGCCTTGCAGCTTCAAAGCCTGACTGGTTGCTGCCTGGGGGGATCCTTTGAAAACCATGAAAACCTCTAATCAGGACAGTAAATAAAGAGCAACACTCAAAAAACAGGGGAAATCCAGACAAGAATGTTAGAACATTGGTTTAAATGTAAGGAAATATTGTTAATAGTTTAAACTGTGTGTGGTGTGGCAATGCAGTGTAAAAGTTAAATGCATAAAGCTGTGCTTGATTCCACAGAATCAGATTACCATGTGGTTTGAGCTTCCAGTAATGTATAGCTAGTGAAGGGACGTGTTTTATTCTGCTCCTGTAAATAGTTTGTAGTTTAGTATTTACAATAAAATAAGTCACTCCAGGCTTTGGAGTTGATTTAAAGTTGCATGATGAATTTATTTTTTTGTGCTCTCCGTGCAAATGCCAGAGAGTCAAGAAGGATTGTGATAAGAGAGAGAGGTAATTTATCTCAATAAATCAACAAAGAATAAATCACAGCCAGCTAACACCTCCCAACAAAGGATCCCTCAGACAGCAACCAGCCATGCTTTGAAGCTGCAAGGCCATTAAATGCTAACCAAGGTGACCAATAGCAACATTTACACTTGCCTCAAGAGATGAGTTCTTTCTCCCACCCTGGACATTCCACAGATATATAAATCTCTCTTGCCTAGTTTCCAACAGACTTCACAACCTCTTGGGATGTCTGCCATAGATGTGGGTGAAACGTCACAAGAAAATATATAAATATGTGAGAGGAAGTCACAGGGAGGAGGGAGCAAGCTTGTTTGCTGCTTCCCTGGAGACTAGGATGTGGAACAATGGCTTCAAACTACAAGAAAGGATATTCCATCTGAACATGAGGAAGACCTTCTTGACTGTGAGAGCCGTTCAGCAGTGGAACTCTCTGCCCCGGAGTGTGGTGGAGGCTCCTTCTTTGGAGGCTTTTAAACAGAGGCTGGATGGCCATCTGTCAGGGGTTCTTTGAATGCAATATTCCTGCTTCTTGGCAGGGGGTTGGACTGGATGGCCCATGAGGTCTCTTCCAACTGTATGATTCTATGATCTAGAACATGGCCATATAGTCTGGAAAGCTCACAGTAATCCAGCAATTCTGGCCATGAAAGCCTTCAACAACACATTGAACATCAAGATAGCAAAAATTATGAGTGAGGGAGAACACACAAACTTGGAGAGGCTGCAGAAATAGGGTCAGGCAAAAGAAAACTGCTGCATTAATTACTATTCCATCTTTCTGTGATCGTGGGATTCTGTTCTTCTTTATGAATAACTCATCCCATCTGATGTTGATTAGCCAGATAGGCCCCATTTTTCACCTATGAAGTGTTGGTGGATATGGCATTGGTTTTTTGGGACACAGCAAATCTGGGGCATATTTTTTCAGTATTTACTTCTTTCTGGATCTATCATGAGCGCCATTCCAAGAGGACACTTCCCTCTCCTCCTTAATAAATATTTAGATAACTTTGTTTTGGCTTTTCCCGGTAGATGAGTCTTCTAGAATTCTCACCCAAGCCAATAATTCAAGCCCATAGGTGACCTTAAAAAATGATTGGATTTTATTTGAAGGAAGCGACCCCAACCCGGTGCCAGAAAATGCATATGCCAGGAAAGGATTTCATTTGCATTTTTTATCCCACTATAATTTTGACAATTGGAAGTTGACGAAATATTGGGAGAAGAGAAGAAATCATCTAGAGAGCCATGTAGTGTTTTAAAGAACTGTAATTGAATAGCATATATTAGCTCAAGGTCAGAGGAGAAGAACACTAGAGGCAAGATTTTAAGTCGAGATGGATGGATAGGAAAGGAATATTGCTTGTAAAATATGTTCTCAATTCTTCATGTGGTTTTGTTGCCAGATTCCAGCAGGGGCATATAAATATGTGCATGGATGGAGGTGCGTGTATTATATATGTCCTGATGTGGAGCCAAACTCAAATTGCACATATACATAGCCAGGAAAGGAGTATGCATGTTATATGGAAGCATTGGGATAAGCAAATAATATTTGGCAGGTCTTCATTTTGAAAAAATACTAAGCCACAGAATCCATATCCATTTTTTACTTCCCTGCACCAGGGGGAAAATGGTCTCTAGACATTTCCTAGATCCACCAGGCGATACTATGGTATGTCTGATGGACTCTATGGAAGTTACAATAGAGTTGTGTTGGAAAACCTAGCAATATCCTCTCCACAGTTTCACATAACTGCAGTCTGGCAAAGAATGTATTCCCTGGGATATGACAATGTTACTATAAACAAGTTTAGAGGAGATTATGTCAGTTCTACTAAGATGCAGCAATACCTCAGTAAATGAGGTGGAGGGGTTCCTTCAACAGAATTTTTTTAATACTGGGGGCACAAATGACATGGGAAGAATAAAGATGGTTCCCTGCACCTCAGAATAGAAGAGTAACTCAATATCTTTATGCAAAACAATAGGCACACATGAAATGAAAGAATTGGGTCAGGTAAGCCTTGCATAAGGGAATAATGAATGATTTTAATGTAAGTCGTTTTGAGTCTCCTCTGTGTAGAGAAAAAGTTGGGTATAAATAAATGTCATAATCATAATCATACATCTTGAACCTTCTAGAGCAGTGGTTCTCAACCTTAGATGTTTTGGCTTCAACTCCCAGAAATCCTAACAGCTGGTAAACTGGCTGGGATTTTTGGGAGTTCTAGGCCACTTTTCTAAAGACACATTGAAACTTTCTTCCAAACGGTTCTGGCCCAACTTACCTGTCCGAACGTATCTCCCCTTACGAACCACTGAGGACTTTAAGATCATCGGGGGGAGGCTCTGCTCTTCGTCACAAGCACGTTGGGCAGGGACGAGAGACAGGGCCTTCTCAGTGGTGGACCCTCGGCTATGGAATGCCCTCCTTAGGGAAATCAGATCTGCTCCCTCCCTCTTGACGTTTCGGAGGCATGTTAAAACGTGGCTATTCGAGCAAGCATTTACAAATACAGAGTAGCTAATACAGGAAATTGAATGACCTGACAATGGAATTGGACAATGCTTGAGAATAATGAGACGCTGATGATGTTGCTTTTATTGTTTTCGTGATGTCTTATGCTATTAATGTTTTTTATCTATTATGTTTTATGTATACTGATTTGTTGGGAACTGCCTTGAGTTGCTGGTTGGCTGAGAAAGGCGGTATACAAATACAGTAAATAAATAAATAAATAACATGCAATGACAGGGAAAAGACACTTGCCATTCCCAATGGGCAAAAGCAAACTGCTGCAGCCCCTCTTAGCTTCCTTAATGTTAAATTTTGTTATATTGAACACATTCTGATATTGATTGGCCACATATGCTCTGGTTTTAATCTGTGAAATATTAGAGCATTTGAAATACATAAAAATAGCAGCGAGATTTGTTCTCTCATTCAGCTGATACCAGGGGTGGGAAACTTCATTATGCTGAGAGGCAAATTCATGAACTTATTTCCCTATATATAGAGAAAACCAAAAGAGAGAGAAATCTGAAAGTGTCCTGAAGTAATCTTCTCTTTTTGGAAAACTGGATATATGTAGCTACTTCTGGATACTTGAAGGACAGGGAATGTATTCTTTTCTATGAACAGAAATAATATGATCCAGGTTCTAGAGGGGATCAAGAGCTTTAAAAACAGCTTTACCGAGCTTAATGAAGCCCCATGATCAAACTTTGGCTGCATCTACACCAGGCAAACTTTGGCCCTCCAGGTGTTTTGGACTTCAATTCCCATAAGTCCAAAACACCTGTAGGGCCAACATTTGCCCATGCCTGATCTACATGTAGAATTAATGCAATTTGACACCACTTTAATTGTTGACTTCTTATTGGTACTGCCTCATTCCATATCTCTGCCCATTAAAACCAAGAAATGGGAGCAATGGCTACCTGTCTTAAGTTTACAAACCCTATCCCAGTTAATCTCCTCCTTGTTTCTTCATAAAACTTCTCCATTTTCTACCTTTTACTATACTCAACACTGTAAATACTCTGTTGTGGTTCATTGTCCTTTTTCTCCAGGAAGTTGTCCATTAACAGTCTGTGGTGTGGCTGCTAATGCATTGAAGGTGTGTTGTGTCAAATGCCGCTACTTCAAGGAGAATGTGACAAACTGGCTAGACCATGCCAAGGAAAACTATGGTGGCCAATACAGCGAAACGCAAGTAGAAAGCACCAAGATGCTTCTTCATCTCTTTCCCTTCTTTGCTTTCCAAGTCCTCTATCGCATGTGCGTTATGCAGGTGAGTGAGTGGTTCCTTGGATTTTTAATACATTTTGAAGTTCAGTCCAGTCGTTTTTTTCTTTCTCTCCGTGTCAGGAGTGACTTGAGAAACTGCAAGTCGCTTCTGGCATGAGAAATTGGTTGTCAGCAAGGAATTGTCCAAGAGACGCGCAGATGTTTGATGTTTTATCATCCTTAAGGGAGGCTCCTCTCATGTCCCCACATAGAGAGCTGGAGCTGACAGGGGGGGGGCTCAACCCACTCTCCCCAGATTCGAACTGCTGACCTATTGGTCAGCAGTCCTGCCGGAACAAGGGTGTAACCCATTGCACCACCAGGAGCTCCATACCCCAGAATATAATGCAGGACTAGACAATATCAGCAGTCCAAATGTTTTGGACAACAACTACCAACCACCTAGGCATACAAAGACTTTTGGGAGTTGTGGTTCAAGATATTTTAGGGAATAATGTGTAACATATCTACAGTCTCTGACTGATTAACTGATAGTGATGATGGTTTCACAAGATCCTCCAATACCTCAATGTTATTATTTATTTATTTATTTATTTATTTATTTATTTACAGCTTTTATATTCCGCCCTTCTCATCCCGCAGGTGAGACTCAGGGCGGATTACAGTGTACACATATATGGCAAACATTCAATGCCAATTTTGACATACAAACATATACAGACATAGACAGAGGCTATTTAACTTTTTCTGGCCGCCAGGGGAGCTGTCGCTTTCATCGTCCATCTGCGACACTGATGAAGCACTTCCGCATTCCCCGCATTCTTCCCCACTGGAATGCTTTGCTGGGGTCTTCTTTATGGCTTCATAAATCAGTTAATTTAGCCTCCCCACACTTTTTTTAAAGGTGGTACCTTACTTTCCTACTTGACAGATGCAACTGTCTTTCGGGTTGCAAAGGTCAACAACAGGCTACACACAATTGGTTGGAAACCCACTCCAACCTGGGCTGGCTTCGAACTCATGACCTTTTGGTCAGAGTGATCTTAAAGCAGCTGACACTCAGCTGCACCACAATCCCGGTGTTATGTCCAATTCCCATAGATAAATGAGATGGCAACCTTTTTCTTTCTGGCTTCTCCATTCATCATGCCAGAACTGGAGATTCCACAATGGAGGAGACAGGCAGTTCCTTCAGAACTAAGAAAAGTATTTGCTTCTTTGCAAAGTACATAATTTATTTATCGAATTCACCTTCATGGAATGAGGTGATGGCCCATAGCTTCAGAGAATTTTTTAAAGTATTAAATTAATTAGCAGAGGCTAGGTCTGCCTGTGTAGAGAATTCAAACTAAAGCCTGTGTTTTTTTATTAACCTCCTAACCTTGTGCCCACTGTGATTTCCCTATTAATTTTTGTTAAATCCCCAAATTGGCACCATAAGCTGCTGCCACCATTCCAGATGGGCCTTAATTATTTCTTCCTTCCACGTTGGCCTTTGTGACTTCCCCGGTCTCTATCCTATAATGTGCATGTGGACCTTAGAGCTGGGGGCTTGAAAGCTGGGCGGGCAAAATTAGACCATGTAGTTGTGCACCTTTACAAATTAACAATCAGAAGTGCAGTAAATGATCAAGCACTGACGGCTATTATTGTTGAGCCCACAAAAATAACAAGGGCTGCCTGCAATCTCTTCCACACACACTTAGTTGGGAATTGACTCCACTGAACACACGGAAGGCATTTCTGCTAGTAAGGGACTTCATATTTAAGGATATCGGAAAGATAACGGATGAGGAAAATAATTGGATCCTCCCTTGCTAATACAGTACCTTAATGTAGGTAAAATTAATAACATCCTGCCTGGCAATATTGAGCCCTCACCTCAAAAACATTTCTGAGGGCCCTGAGTGTACAATTATCTCAATTCTGTATATCAATTTAAATTTGAAGAGTTTGGTAGAATTTTGAAACTGTGTACATAATTGTGTATTTTATTGTAATGATGGTTCACTCCCCCCCCCCCCCACCCCCACCCCACACACACACACACTTAAAACTGTTTTGCACAAATTATATGTTTACGAATGTTATGAATTGTTGCAATAAACATTTTCCCCATGGGTTGTTGTAGGTTTTTTGGGGCTATATGGCCACATTCTAGAGGCATACTCTCCTGACGTTTCGCCTGCATCTATGGCAAGCATCCTCAGAGGTGGTGAGGTCTGTTGGAACTAGGAAAATGGGTTTAGATATCTGTGGAAAGACCAGGGTGGGACAAAGTGGGACATTGAAATCCACAAGCATGTGGACAATTTCAACAGAAAGGAAGAGACCATGAAAATGAACAAAATCTGGCTACCAGTATTAAAAAAACTCTAAAATTACAACAGTAAAACAGCAGAGGGAAACAATCAGGGACATCTAATCACCTCTCAACAAAAGATTGCTCCAGGCACTTCCAGGCTATCAAATGGTAATCAAGGTGGTCAGTTGAAACATTCACACCTAGCTCCAGCAGACAAGAGTCCTTTGTCCCACTCTGGTCTTTCCACAGATATATAAACCCATTTTCCTAGTTCCAACAGACCTCACTACCTCTGAGGATGCTTGCCATAGATGCAGGCGAAACGTCAGGAGAGAATGCCTCTAGAACATGGCCATATAGCCGAAAAAAACCTACAACAACCCAGTGATACTGGCCATGAAAGCCTTTGACAATACATTTTCCCCGTGCCTTTCCTCTCAATCCAGATTGATCCCTGCTTCCATCTCATTTGCTGTACATCATTCACCTATTAATACAGATTTAAACAATACTAGTTTCAAAGGACAGATAGCCCTCCACATTTGCTGGGGTTATGGGCTCATGACCCCCAGGAAAATGGGGAAAATGCAACTTTTTTTAAAAAAAAATCTCTACAGTAATCTCTAGATCTTCTGATGTCCATGTCTGATGGACATGGATCATCGATTCACACTGGGAGATGTAGAGATTCCTGGAAAGATCGTATTACTGAAATCCACGTGTAATAAATGCTGCAAAAGTTAAATCAGCACATGCAGAGTGGCAACTAAACACTATTACAGCCTTGTGATTCCAGTTTAACAGCCATGGTTTCATCCTGTGAAATCCTGAGATCTGCCATTTAAGCAAGGTTATTTAGAAACCTTTACTTTTACCCTGGTTGCACAGCAGGTTAAACTGCTGAACTGCTGAACTTGCTGACCGAAAGGTTGGCTGTTCGAATCTGGGGAGCGGGGTGAACTCCCGCTATTAGCCCCAGCTTCTGCCAATCTAGCAGTTCGAAAACATGCAGTAGATCAGTGTTTCTCAACCTTCCTAATGCTGACCCCTTAATACAGTTCCTCATGTTGTGTGACCCCCAACCATAACATTATTTTCGTTGCTACTTCATAACTGTAATTTTGCTACTGTTATGAATCCGTAATGTAAATATCTGATATGTGGGGTGTATTTTCATTCACTGGACCAAATTTGGCACAAATACCAATATGCCCAAATTTGAATACTGGTGGGGTTGGAGGGGATTGATTTTGTCATTTGGGAGTTGTAGTTGCTGGGATTTATAGTTCACCAATGAAATAGCATTCTCAACCCCACCAACGATAGAATTGGACCAAACTTTCCACACAGAACCCCCATAACCAACAGAAAATACTATGTTTTCTGATGGTCTTTGGTGACCCCTCTGACACCCCCTCATGACCCCCCAGGGGTCCCGAACCCCAGGTTGAGAAACACTGCCCTAAATATATACAACCATGCACATCAATATTAGGGTGGGAGATTGATTTTGTCATTTGGGAGTTGTGCTGGGATTTATAGTTCACCTACAATCAAAGAGCATTCTGAACTCCACCAACAATGAATTGAACCAAACTTGGCACACAGAACTCCCATGGCCAACGGCAAATACTGGAAGGGTTTGGCGGGCATTGACCTTGAGTTTTGGAGTTGTAGTTCACCTACATCCAGAGAGCACTGTGGACTCAAACAATGGATCTGGACCAAACTTGGCACAAATACTCAATATGCCCAAATGTGAACACTGGTGGAGTTTGGGGAAATGGACCTTGACATTTGGGAGTTGAAGTTGCAAGGATTTGTAGTTCACCTATGATCAAAGAGCATTCTGAACCCCACCAACGATAGAATTGGGCCAAACTTCCCACACAGAGCCCCCAAGACCAACAGAAAATACTGACACCCCCTAAGGGGTCCTGATCCCCAGGTTGAGAAACACTGCAGTCGATCAATACGTACTGCTTCTGCACGAAGGTAACGGCGCTCCATGCAGTCATGCTGGCCACATGACCTTGGAGGCATCTATGGACAATGCCGGCTCTTTGGCTTAGAAATGGAGATGAGCACCACCCCCAGAGTCAGACATGACTACACTTAATGTCAGGGAAAACCTTTACCTTTTATTTAGAAACCAGAGAGCTGTAGTGTCTCACAAATGGAATGCACCCTTTAATGCCTGTGCTAGAACTTTCATCTCTGTTAATCTGAAAGTTGCTACTGGATCCATTCCAAACTTTTTATTCTAAAATAGACCAACACGGCTTTCTGTTTGAACACAAAACTAAAACCAAGTTTTTCTCCTTTCAAACTAGATCCCTTCTGGATATTATCTTCAAGCAATAAATTCAAATCTCAATCTGAATGGCTTTTTCATACCAATAGCAGCCATGAATCTGATCAGCATCCTGCCGTTCCTGATTCTAGCTCCCATTCTGGAGTGTCTCAGCACTTGTCTCTCCAGTGCAAAAACTAGTGGATGGTCCCATACTATGTACATTGGTGAGTTTCATTTTTTAAAAGTAACTTCTGTAGGAGCTGGTTTTTTCCCCTTCATTATTGGGAAGGAAGTGGTGCTTTTAAATATAGTATGATCTTTATATTTGTGTGAGATATGTTCCTGGACTTCCCATTGATATGCAAAACTGTGAATAACAGCAAACTCTATTGAAATGAAAGATTTGTTGTCTAAGAGCCACAGTGGAGGACTTTGACAATGTCTAGAGATGACATATTTTGTTGGATGTAGATAAATGAAACTGCAGGTACCAGTTCCATGGATATGTGGGCCCTACTATACAAAAACATTTTGGGGTGAGGGATCTCCTCAGAAAAATGACTGGGCTTTGTTGGAGCTTGCCTCTCCTTCAGTGTCCATTGCATGATGGTGGATGTTGGACTCTAGCTCAAGGGTGAATCCACACTAGGATGTAATCCCAAAAGTGTTGGATGGGTTGTTCATATCTTTTTGGAGCAATAAGCATATTCTCTAGGGCTGGGCGGTTTTGTAATTTCGTAATTTCGTAATTCGTTAAAAATTCGTGTTTTTTTTATAACGAAGCGATAACGAACCATTCAGGAGCAACTAAAAAACGAAACGAATTTTTAAATTTGTTTCGTAATTGTTTCGAATTCGTTTTGTATTCGTTTCGTTATCGTTTTGAAATGTTTCGTTATTATTTCCGCATGTCTGGGGCAAGTTTTATAGTTGTTTTTTGTTTAATCAGTGAAAAAAAATTATAATATCACACCAACAGTCAACAACAGAGGGAGAGGGAAGCTTCAGAAATTCCCCCTGTCCCATTTGGAGGTTTTTTAGCGTATTGCGCGGTCGCGTCCGCCATTAACGAATCGATTCGTTATTGTTTCGTATTTGTTTCGTATTGTTTTGTAATTTACTAAATTTCGTAAATATCGAACTTTTTTAAAGAAAAATTTCGGAATTCTTTTAAAAATTGAAACGCAACACCCCCCCTAAAAACGAATCGATTTTTAGAAACAAATCTTTTTGGAGCAATAAGCATATTCCCCTGTGTTTATGTGTACTTTCCTTCACATAGGGAAAAGACTCTAATTTTGTACCATTTGGCCAAACCAAGCAAATTCATCTTATGCAATTATAGCTCTTTGATAGCATGCCATCCTTTGGTATCCTTGGATTTGTAGTTTCATGAGGCATTTAGAATTCTATGTCTGAGAGCTCTGGTGTTTTGTTATTGTGGTGTGACTTCAAGTTGTTTGTTTTAAGATTACTCTAAAGAGAATCTATTGTGGGAGTTTTCTCAGCAAAATTACCTTCACCTGAGACTTCAAGAGCAACTCGCCCAAAGCTACCCAGTTATTGGGAAGGAAGCAGTTGGGCAAAGATTCGAACCCTGGTCTGCTAGAGTTCTGCAACCAGTACACCACAATGGTTCTCTTTACTGCTTCATGAAACTACCAATCCTACGATTCCGTATGATAGAACCCCAACAGTTAAAGCACTATCAAAATGGTATAACAGTGTGCTGTGAAAGAGGCCAGTGAGATTTCTTCCCATCCCTGTCCTGTAGCAATTTCACACTTTCAGATTGCAACCTCAAGCTGTGCTTTCAAATATTTTGCAGATTGAATGACTTCCTATTTGGAGGATAAGAACTCCCAGGCTCCTCTGTTACTGACTGATTAGCTGCAGCTGTTCACTTGCAATAAGCAGAATAGATTCTGGAACATTTGGGGAAGAATGGATTGTTTGACTGTTCAAATGCTGAATGTGCTCTCTCTCTCTCTCTCTCTCATTTAAAACTTTGTTTTACTGATGTTGAACTAAACATGGTCCTGAATCCTTTTAGTTAATCCAAACTAGAGTAGACACATTGAGTCAACATCTAGACAAATCCCACTGATTCATTAGCTATCTCTCTAATTGTAACCTGTGGTTTTTGTCATTTCTCCTCGTAGATAGAGGCAGGGACAAAATATCTTAAAATATGGCATACAATCAGCTAAAACACATAGCCCAGTTAAAGCATCTGTTTAAAAAAATATAAATTGAATGTATAGTTTAAAAATCTAATACATAATTTAAAATTTATGGTATGTCTTGGTGGTTTCCAAGCACTAATCAGTTCTGACCCCAATTAGCTTCCATAATCAAATGGGATCCAGTAGGGCATTGTAACTAGGAGTACTGTTTGATGATAGGAAGCCAAATGACTTTTAAAGAGATTTCAGTTGGAAAAACCCAAGTAATCTAGAGGAAAACAACGTTTAGGTTTTCTTTCAAGAACTACAACTTTATCCATTGGTAAGACAATCATTCTTCTCCAAAGGAAACACCAGTCTTGCAAAATGATAATACAAACTATTGTGTCATTTCAGCCCACATAACCCATATGAAGTATTTTACAAAGATTTGGAACCATCTTAAATATTTAAGTTAAAAAAATATTGGTGACATACACTCCAACTTTTCACAGGTTAAAAGCCAGGACACCTGTGGCCAAGAAACATCAGAAAGTGCTCGATATGGCAAAATGTGGCACTTTAAACTCAGATTACCCTTAAGGAAGTAGAAAGAGGAGAAATAAATTGGTACATTTCAGATGCAGCCAAAAAGTGGGACTGAAGCTGATAAATCAGGGCAATTGGAAGCTATATGATAGCCAGCTTATATTTAGAGCTGTATCAATGAAGTCACACAACAATATTTCCACATCTTTCTTTTTGAAGTTTGAAGCAGTGTTGAAAAAAAACAAGGTTTAAACTCGTAATGTTTTGGCAATCCAGATGCAAATGCCTCCAGGGCAGATGCAGTGGACAAAAACACCAGAGTCTACTGTTGTCAGGCTGAAAAGTGTAGAGAGCTGCTACACTTTTAATAGTTGTGTGGAAGCTGCTTGTCACACATCCAAGGAGCACATATCACCTACTAAAATTCCTCCAGTCATTAAAGGTACAGGAGTCCTCTCATATTTTTTTTCGCTCTGGTAGCCATTTGTTGCTGTATGCCTTTAAGTCGTTCCTGACTTATGGCAACCCTTAGGTGACCTTGTCATGGAGTTTTGTTGGCAAGATTTGTTCAGAGGGTGTTTGCCTTTGCCTTACCCTGGGGCTGAGAGAACATGACCTGTCCAAGCACAACTTGTGGGTTTCTGCAGCCAAGTGGAGATTTGAAACCTGGTCTCCAGAGTCCTATTCCAGCACTCAAGCCACACTGACTCTCTCTAGTAGTCATAGCTGGTCAAATGCTGCCTCTAGGATAGAATACCTCAGTGACTTATCTCAGCACTCCATGGGGATAATATTGGCCTACTAAGCAGAGTTGTATGACTCATTGAAATAATTTGAAATACTTTGACAAACAGTTGTATTGTCTGACTGGTGCCTGTATTAGACTCTGGTATCCAGCATGATGAGGTGCTGAGAATCTCCCCAGTTTTAGCTGATGTGTATTTTTAGAATAAAAGAGCAGTCTTTTCTTAAATTTAGAAATCAATTCCCATTTGCATGAATGAAGCAACTGGAGTGCTCTTCCAATTTAAGCTATTCCCCATCCTGCAGTGCAGTTTAAAACACATGCGCGCTTAGAAATCAACATTTCCTGTTCTCCTAGTATTTAATGCGGGACCCCTGTAGCATGTGGCGCAGCCGGTGCCAAAAGACAGGAAGTATTAATCTGACTAGAATTAGCCTAATTAAGTTTGTTGTTAAGCTTTGTGCAAAGGAGAAGTGCATGAAACAGCAGGTGGCAATTACTCAGGATTTAAAATAAAATGATGTTTCAATTGAGCGAGGGGAAAAGAACACTTGGATAGCAGCGCTGACAATTCTTCAGGTTACATCTGAAATCCTGAAATCCTAATGATGCTGCAAATGTTCAAAAGGTTAAATATTTCACTTGGTGCCATGCTGAGAACTCTCTTGATATTTTAAAGCCTCATTCACTGACATCGTGTGTGTAGAAGCATGCAATACTGAAACAATTTAATAAACTGTCCCAAGATTATGTCCCTTTTCTTAATGCAATTAACTTATTGGCCAGTTTAGTTCCTGAAAAGACAGCCACATTCTCATATCACAGGAAGCCATGGTTGATGTGAACCATAGTTTTTGTACCTTTAGCCATTTATTGCCTCACAGATGAAAAAACCATGCAAAGTTTGTTTTCCTCATTTCTGTACCACTTATTTTTCCATCTCATGTTTCAGGGTGGGTAGCTGAGGAAACAAACCATGAACAAACCAGGGTTGTTGTAGGCTTTTCGGGCTATATGGCCATGTTCTAGAGGCATTCTCTCCTGATGTTTCGCGTGCATCTATTGCAAGCATCCATGTTCTGAGGATGATTGCCATAGATGCAGGCAAAACATCAGGAGAGAATGCCTCTAGAACAGTGGTTCTCAACCTGTGGGTCCCCAGGTTTTTTAGCCTACAACTCCCAGAAATCCCAGCCAGTTTATCAGACATTAGGATTTCTGGGAGTTGAAGGCCAAAACGTGTGGGGATCCACAGGTTGAGAACCACTGCTCTAGAACATGGCCATATCAATGACCAATCTCGATAAAATAGTGAAGAGTAGAGACATAACACTGGCAATGAAGATCTGCATAGTTAAATCAATGGTATTTCCCCATAGTAACATGGATGCGAGAGCTGAACCATAAAGAAGACTGATGAAGGAAGATAGACACTTTGGTACTGGAGGAAAATTCTGAGAGTGCCTTGGACTGCAAGAAGATCAAACCATTACATACTCCAGGAAATAAAGCCCAGCTGCTCACTGGAGGGAAGGATATTAGAGGCAAAGATGAAGTACTTTGGCCACATCATGAGGAGACAGGAAAGCTCGGAGAAGACAATGCTGCAGGGGAAAATGGAAGGAAAAAGGAAGAGGGGCGGACCAAGGGCAAGATGGATGGATGGTGTCCTTGAAGTGATGGCTTGACTTTGAAGGAGCTGGGGGTGGCAATGGCAGCTGACAGGGAGATCTGGAGTAGGCTGGTCCATAAGGTCATGAACAGTCGGATGCGACTGAACGAATCAACAACATCAAACAAACAAATCTTGTCAGTATAACAAAGAACAGAAAAGAACCCTTAAAAATAGTTCTCTTGAGATAAATAAAATGTGGGTTGTAATTATTTGTTTCCCTATGCCCAGGGAAATTTCTCAATTTTACATGCTTCAGGTTTCTGCACACAACTCTATTGTGATTTAATTCCGGTTTCCTAAATAGTGCTGCAGACTGAACCATGAAACATTATTACTCCACAGTTAAACAAAAATATTGCTTCCAAATTGATGAACTGGTAGGTCTCTGGGTGATTTGCAGAAGGTCAACAGGGCTTTCTGGTTCTCAGTTTTTAATTATTGCAGCAATAGTATGATGACCTGTACCTTAAATTATATTGCCAATACAAAAAAGTTTGGACTTCATCAGAAGTGGATTTTTGTGAGGAGAGACCAGAGCTTGTTTTTTTTTTTAAATGATTTGTTCAACTTATTCATTATGGCACTGGACAGTTATTCATTGCTATTACTCAATGTTTAATGCAAGAACTGGGAAAATGGAGCCTAAAGCAGCATGCAATTCCTGATCTTCACCTTTGAGTCTTCTAAGCTCAATGCTCCAATGGCCCAGCCAAACCATTCCAAATATAAAAGGGTAATTTTGGTGTGATTTTTAGGTTGATATCTGCAAATGCAAGGAAACAATCCACAAATGCATGTGTGTGTTTGAATGTACGTTTGAATAGCCTTCCAATTTATGTTGATCTCCTGGATTTTATAGGGTTTTCTTGAGCAAAGAATACTCAGATTGTTTTCCAAGTCTATCCTTTGAAACACAGCTTTTTGCACCTGGTATTTGCTTGAAGTCTCCCATCCAAGTTGGCCCCAGGCATCCACACAGTTGCTCACATTTGTTGCAGATCTTTCAGAGAGGTTGTGCCTTTTACCACACCTGGACTGACCACTTTAATAACTTGGTTTTGAAATGCTAGTGTGCCTCTTTAACACAGTTGGTTCCTAAATTTGGCAAGACTCTTTTGAAAGTCTTATGAAAGTTGTCCTTCTCCCCAGAAATTTTGAAAGCAACTTTTTCCATGTATTGGAAATCAATGTCCTTCACGTGGACTAGTTTGGACAGAAAAAATTGACAATGCCCACATGGTTCATAGAGTTCCCGAAGCAGATTTCTTGGGGGCCTATGGACTACAATGTGAATAATCCGTCCCTAAATGCAATGCCTCTTGTCGGGCCAAAGAAATCCTTTCATTGATACTCTCCATGGTATTGCTGGAAAATCTCACCCATATTGGAAGGGGTTTTGATGTCATTTTTATTCATCATTCAGAATGTCTGAAAACTGTCCCATATTCCTAGAATTTTGTTCAAATGCTTCAGTCATCAAAGAGATATGTTACACCAAAATAGAACAAGAGCTACATGCCATTTGTGGTTACTCAGCTAATTCTAATTGAAGAATTTTATTGGTTGGGCACGCTGATGCGATTCCATTGGTGTAAGAAAGTATAGTGGGTCCTTGGTGTCTACTGGGAGTTTGTCCGTCCATTCATCCCTAGATAACAACATTTGTGACTGTTCAATGGCATAGTAAAATTGGGTTATAGGCAAAATTACAGGTTGCTTGTGATTTGTAAATATATATTTTCAAGCTGTGGAAAGTTGAATCCATTAATACATTGAAATGATGATGATGATGATGATGATGATGATTATTATTATTATTATTATTATTATTATTTTATTCCTTACCCACCTCTTCTCATAGCTCAAGGCAGGTTACAGAACAATTAAAACATTACAAAAAACACAACAAATACGCATTATAAAACAAACCAGTATAAAAGCTGCACATCTTTAAAAAATACATATTAAAATACACAAAATAGACATTAAACAAAGGACAAGCATGTAAAACTCATGCTTGAAGACTGTCTGGGTAGGCCTGCCAGAAGAGATAGGTCTTTACATGGTTTTAAAATTCCAACAACTCATTTGGTTCTTCCAGCAGGTCATTCCATGGTGCACAGAGGACCTAAGTGTGTGGGGCAGCTTGTACGGGTGAAGGTGATCCTTTAAGTAATCTGGACCCAAACCATATAGGTTCTTTAAAGGTCAAACCCAACACTTTGTACTTTGCCCGGAAATTAACTGGCAGCCAGTGGAGTGATTTTAGGATAGGTGTAATATGCTCACTCTTGGATGTTCTCGTAACCAACCTGGCTGCCTTATTTTGAACCAACTGGAGTTTCCAATCTTGGTACAAAGGTAGCCCAATGTAAAGCACATTGCAGAAGTCCAACCTGAGGTTACTAGTGTGTGCACTACCATCTTCAGGTCCTCCAAATCTAGGAAGGGGCACAGCTGACATTTTAGCCAAAACTGATAGTAAGCACTAATACGGAAATCCAACTGGATGTGTCAGAATAAAAGATGACAAGGCTTGTTAACATAAATGTGTGAAAACTGGCTGTATTTTAGAAAATATAGTGGTTAAAAATCAGCAAAAATGAGTAGCTTCTTAGAAGTGACAAACAAAATGCTCAATTACAAAATGGACCCTTAAGAGCTCGAAGTCAAACATCTTGGAAACGCCATTGAATTCAAAGCTATGACAAAAGTTCTTACTTTTGCTTTCAGTGTACTAGGTGCAATTTAGAAAAAGTCTATAATTACTAGTAATTATTATTTTGGCTTTTATATCCAGTTGTAGGTTACACATTTGCCACCTTGTCAATGATGGTTGCCGGGTTGTTTGAGGTGCACAGGAAACATTTCCCTTCAGTGGAACAGTCTGTTTCGGGCAAAGTGCTCCTTGTTTCCTCCATGCCGTGTATCCATCTGGCCCCTCAATACATCTTGCTTGGCGTAGCAGAAGCTCTGGTGACTCCCACCTGTAAGAAGACCATTTTATTTCATTTTCTAGTCTTAAAACCAACTGACTTGAGCACAGAATGACATCTGTTTGAACAGGGGCGGCTTGAGTACCTTTCATCAGAATCTTCACCCCTGGCGTTCTTCCACCGCTTTTCTGAGCAGGCTCATTCATCATTCGAACAGAAAGCTTCATTTGTCATTCTGGTTGTTACCGCTGTGTAGTGAACACTAATGTTCTTTGTGGTTAGGAGAAATGTCTAATTGGCCACCTCTGGTGGGGCTTTCCATTCATTACATCTGGTAAATGTGCTGAAGATAAGATGAGGAAGATAGGAAGTGGAGAAGCCAGCACTAGAGTTTCCAAAATTTCACATATGAAAATGAGGATGAGACTTGGTAGAGCATCCCTTATCTGAAATTATTGGGACCAGAAGGCTTTGAATTTCAGATTTTGGAATCTCAGTATTTGCATATTTGCACATAGTGAGATATCTTGGCAATCCGACACCAGTCTAAACATGAAAATCATTTATGCTTCATAAACACCTTATACACAAATTAACTGAAGGCCATTCTGTACCATATTTTAAAAATAATTAAATACATAAAGCAAAGTTGATTAAACTGCAAAAAAGCAAAGGTGCCATAGTTTCAGCCACCGATGTGAACAATTTTAGATTTTGGAGTATTTTGGGATTTTGCATAAGGCAATGTTTCTCAACCTGGAAAGGGGGGGGGTCAGGACCTCTGAAGAGGTCACGAGAGGGTATCAGAGGGGTCGCCAAAGACCATCAGAAAACACAGTATTTTCTGATGGTCATGTGGATTCTGTGGGAAGTTTGGACCAATTCTGTCGTTGGTGGGGTCTTTGATTGTATGTGAACTATAAATCTCAGCAATTACAACTCCCAAATGTCAAGTCTATTTTCCCCAAATTCCATCAGTGTTCACATTTGGGCATATTGGCTATTGGTACCAAATTTGGTCCAGATCCATCATTGTTTGAGTCCACAGTGCTTTCTGGATGTAGGTGAACTACAACTCCAAAACTCAAGGTCAATGCCCACCAAACCCTTCCAATGTTTTCTGTTGGTCATGGACATTCAGTGTGCCAAGTTTGGTTCAGTTCCATCATTGGTGGAGTTCAAAATGTTCTTTAATTGTAGGTTAACTATAAATCCCAGCAACTACAACTCCCAAATGACAAAATAAATCCCCCCCAACCAGTATTTGTATTGGGCATTTTTGTCAAATTTGGTCCAGTGAATGAAAATACATCCTGCATATCAGATATTTACATTATGATTCATAACAGTAGCAAATTACAGTTATATTGACAAAAATGTATTGTCGAAGGCTTTCATGGCCGGAATCACTGGGTTGTTGTAGGTTTTTCCGGGCTATATGGCCATGTTCTAGAGGCATTTTCTCCTGACGTTTCGCCTGCATCTATGGCAATCATCCTCAGAGGTAGTGAGGTCTGTTGGAAGTAGGAAAATGGGTTTATATATCTGTGGAATGACCAGGGTGGGACAAAGGACTTTGTCTGCTGGAGCTAGGTGTGAATGTTTCAACTGACCATCTTGATTAAGGAACCTTGGGCAAGTCCAGGGGCAGCTCAACCCATTATGCGAAGTAAGCATTTGCAGTATAGTTGATTTTGCCCAAGGGCGCTCTTGAGGTGCTCTTGCGAGTTGTAGTTACTGGGATGTATAGTTCACCTACAATCAAAGAGCATTCTGAACTCCACCAATGATGGAATTGAACCAAATATGGCACACAGAACTCCCACGACGAACAGAAAATATATATCAGTGATTGGTGGGGGGGGAGGCGCCAAAATACTGTTTGCTTACTGTTGAAAATTACCTAGGGCCGCCTCTGATGCCACAGATATATAAACCTAGTTTTTCCTAATTCCAACAGACCTCATTACCTCTGAGGATGCTTGCCATAGATGCAGGCGAAACGTCAGGAGAAAAATTGCCTCCAGAACATGGCCATATAGCCCGGAAAAACCTACAACAACCCAACAACAAAAATAATTTTATGGTTGGGGGACACCACAACATGAGGAACTGTATTAAGTGGTCAGAGCATTAGAAAGATTGAGAAACACTGCCATAAGGAATCCTCAGTCTGTTTGACCAAACAGTGTCAAGAGTTTGATTAAAAATAGCAGAAGTAATTAATTAGAAAGAATATCTCAGCTAAGAGGTGTTGCAGCAATTGGATTTTGCCTGAGTCTGTTGGGAAGAGCATGATTATGGAATAAGGAATGTGGTACAACATCCTTGTTATACTTTTCAGCTCTTTCTCTTGTGTTTTTTTTTTATAAAGGTTCCTTCATCATATTCAGATTTGTGCCAGACAGAATTCGAGGGATCGCCATGCAAGTCTCAACTTTCTTCAGTGGAGTTGGATGCATTACGGGGGCACTTTTCATCGAAGCAGTTTACTATGGCTCACAAGGTGAAGCAATCCTTATGCACAGGAAAATCTCTGTCTCGCTCTTTGGGGATTTTTACCCTCTTTCTATTGGTTATTGACTTTGGTTAGCAGAGTATTAAAAAATCTAGATGCCAGCAATTTATTGATCTCTGTTTGTGATTAAGATAGGTCACCAAGATGCAGCCAGATTCATCAAAATGTAATAAATCATTCCTTTTCTGAAAGACACAATAATTAGTGTGTTGCGTCTTAATAGGACTTCCTTCCATCCTCCAAAATTGAACTAGGATTCCTTGTAAGAACAAAGTGCCCATGTCTATAGTTATTTGTATTGTCAAAGGATTTCATGGCCAGAATCCCTGTGTTGTTGTGAGTTTTCTGGGCTGTATGGTCATGATCCATACAGCATGGCAATAGAGGAGTGAAATATCCAGTACTGTTAATGCTCTATTTCTGTATCATTTTGGAAAGTAAAATAATAGTTACACCTAGAGCAGATCCACTGAATCAATTGCTGAATGATTATTAACTTTTATGTAATTCTTGTTGACATAATGAATGCATTTATTGTGCTGTCGCGCACTGGGCCTGTGATAGTGTCTGTTTACAGGACGCACTTTCTGAATGCCCAACGGGACGCCAGGGTGCCTCAGCTAAAGGGTCCCTTAGGTTTCCCAACACAAATCTCTGTAGAGGCTCAAAATAGGTTCAACAAAGTTCTTTATTAAGGCTTAAATCTTCGAACAAATGAATTAAATGCTTTATAATCTTGAAAAACTAGTAGCTTTCTCGAACTGCCAACAAGGGACAGGCAACTGCTTGATAAACTGTTCCTTTCTTTCTTGGGGAAACCTTCTGCTTAGCTTATAAAAGACTGTAAGTAAAAGTCCACCTAGATTTTAAGGATCATATGTATTCACTCAGATTAACCCCTTCTCTCAACAGAATTTCCATAGACCTTTACAGGTTTATCTCAGTTGACAAGGTAGACACATTCCTGAAGATTAGTTCTTTAACAGAAAATTGCTACTAACATGGGAGGTATGCCTTTGAGTGAAGGTATTCTCCATGCGTGGAATGTTAAGGGAATGCTGTACTTCCACCTACCACTTAAGGAGCTGCGGTGGTGCAGTGGGTTAAACCTTGTGCTGGCTGAACTGCTGACCAGAAGGCTGGCAGTTTGAATCCGTGAGACAGGGTGAGCTCCCATCTGTCAGCTCCAGCTTCCCATGTGGGGGCATGAGAGAAGCCTCGCACAGGATGGTAATACATCCAGGCATCCCCTGGGCAACGTCCTTGCAGACAGCCAGTTCTCCCACACCAGAAGTGACTCTAATTCACTTCTTACACGATAAAAAACCCTAGCACTTGCAGCAAAGGATTGGCTTCTGCTTATATTTTTTCCACCTTTCAAAGTAGATATGAATAACGCTTAAATCACCCATGAGAGCTTCTCTAAAACAACACTGCAAACTGTGTGTCCAGTGGAATAGGTTGTTTTGGGGATGGTTGGTTCTCCAGCCTTGAAATTCTTTAAACAGATATTGGATGGACATATTTCAGAGGTGCTTTAGTTGTGCAATAATTGGATTAGATGGCCTTTGTGGTTCCTGACTAATCTATGATCCTGTGATTCATTGTATCTTGGAGTTCCAGAGCACATGGGAGCATAGGGTGAGGGTTATGGCCCCATCTACATTTTAAAAACATTTAATTCAGTGTCAAACCAGTATTGAAGAAAGTGGTTTCAATGTGCCAAATGGCTATATAGGAAATCCTGGAACCAGTTTCCATCCTCAATGGTGATTACACAAACCACAGAACACTAAAAAAATATTAAAGACTTATTTGCATGTGCACTTTTGTAGGAGTTTATTGTCTGGCCGCCACAGTTTCAAATTAGTTTCAAACTGCATTAAATGATCAGTGAAGATGGGGCCTTAAAAAGCAAGAACATTTTAAAATAGAGGAATGTGGCTGCCGAGCTGTGAAGAATTAGTAACTGTGGGGAAGAATTGTCTTTGAATCTACTTTATGGCAGGCTTTTTAAATATTTGAGAATTTATGTCAAGCTGCCCACTCTCAGTTCACCTTCTTATTTTCCACCCCTTATTTTTTGAAAGATACCTGGTTGGCTGGAGACTCTCTTGCTTCCCCCCCAAATTAATTTATCATTTTTACTGCTCTCCTTTTTGCTAAATGTTAAGGTCAAAAATCTCCCCGAGGTGCCAAGCAATCGTAATGCATTCTGCCAGGAGGTGTGAGCAGGTGCGTGAATTGCGATAATTTAACTACGAGGTCGGGTGGTTCCATTTTGCTGCACTGGAAATGTGCAGAGTCATAAGATTTCTTTTTTCTTTTCTGTTCGATACAATTAGCTGTTATGATTCCTAACCCTCTTGAGGCACTTGAAGGGAGGAATAAAATAGAGATGGAGCAAAAGTTCTTCCACTGTGCTTGTCCCCATCACGGTCACGGTAGTTGTTTATGTATTAATTTCGTTTTATTAAAATACAGTCATCCTGCTCTCTCCATGACTCTACAAAGAATCTCCAAAGAAAATTCCAAAAAACAAGCCTCCTGCATAATACTTTTATGAAAGCCAAAGAAATCTGTGATTGCCACTGTGCTGTTACATGCTGGGCCTGTGATAATGTCTGTTTACAGGACACGCTTTCTGAATGCCCAACGGGACACCGGGGTGCCTCAGCTAAAGGGTCCCTTAGGTTTCCCAACACAAAGTTCTGTAGAGGCTCAAAGTAAGTTCAACAAAGTTCTTTATTAGGCTTAAATCTTCGAACAAATGAATTAAATGCTTTATAATCTTGAAAACTAGTAGCTTTCTCGAACTGCCAACAAGGGACAGGCAACTGCTTGATAAACTGTTCCTTTCTTTCTTGGGGAAACCTTCTGACCCCTCTTTGGGCAATCTTCCTTTACCTTACTGGCGTGAGGCCCCTACTCCTGGCTCCAATCTGCTTTATGGATAGCCCGAGTGTCCCTTACCAGATAAGGTTTTCTGTAGATCTGCCAAGCTGGTGTCCTTTAGATTTTCCAAAGGTTGTGGAACCATTCCTTTTGCCTAGCAAAGCTGGCTGTATTTCCCAGCAAAGCTGGCTGTATTTCTTTTTCACCAGCAAAGCTGTGAGAAATGAAGCCTTTTTGCAGGTTGGAGAGAGAAGCCCACGCGTCCTGTCTGTTAGGCTCCAAGCTGTGAGACTGAGCTAAAAGTCCCCTTTTCCCTCCAAACCTGGGGAAAGGGGTGGGTGTAAAGGCTCTAACAATGATTGATAGGTTGTTGACCCTATGATTGCAGCCTGGGGAAAGCTACCCAATTGCAAAATGCATGGCCCAGATGAATTCAAACAAACTAACAGTGCAAGAAAAGGAATCAAATCTCCTGGCACAGCCGTGCCAGCACAGCCACTAAGATGTTACTATGGTTCGACCACTGGTTCTTAACCTGTGAGCTAGGGACAACCAGTGGGCCATGCGGATGAAAACCTGGTCCGCAAGCCTCTTTCCTCTTATTTTATTTTATTTTACTTCTGCTCCTTTCACACCGCCTGCCACTCCTTCCCTGTTGTGACCATGGCATATGTTCTATATCAGAAACGAGAGTCAATGTGGTCTCTCCAATGCAATTTTCTGAATCAGCACCCTGAACCAAATCTAAAGTTGACCAAAAACTGATTTGTAACCCTCTTGGTACTAATGTTGAAGAGTGGTCCCTGGTCAAAGTGGTCCCTGGTGAGAAAAAAAGGTTGGGAACCACTGGATTAGACCACTGAAATAATCTCAATTACAGTCTATAATTGTAGACTCATTCCTGATTAAATGAACCCCAAAATAATTTATTGCTGTGGGTAAAATGGCACCAAATTGATGGTGGCATTTGGTCTCCAAAGTGTCCCAGTTGTAGTAATAAAATCTTGGAGTTGGAAGTGACTACAAGGGCCTTCTAGTCTAACTCCACCACAAAACCATGATGAAAAAAGAACACATAAAAGATGCCCATCCAACCTCTGTTTAAAGACCTTCGAAAAAAGGTCTACCACCACTTCTGAGGCAGTTATTCTTTATACAATGAAGAAGTTCTTCCTAAATTTTAGGAGGAATCATTTTTGTTTTGTATTTTGTCTTTGGAATCCATTTGGTTCTTTTCTAGGTACTGGAGCTACAAAAAACAAGCTCCTTCCATCTTCTACTTGGCATCCCTTTGGATATTTAAAGATGATTATCATATGATCTCCCAGTTTTCTCAAAGCTACACACACCCAATTCTATAGGTTGTTCTTCATAAGAATGGGTTCCACACTTTTGATCATCTTGGCGTACATCCAGACTGCAGTCTGATTTTGTTCTTGTTCTTTCTGATTTTACATTCAGAGATTATTTTTAATTCCATCTCCTTAGTCTGGTTTATTTTAACTCAGTATAAAATTGCAAAGAAGAGGAACAAAATCTAGGGCTTCTCCGTTAGTCTGGATGCTACCATTCTGTGATACATACTAGTGTCATTTTTTTTATTTCCTATATTTATCCCTCACTCTTCCCACCCTGAAGAGGGATCAGAGCAGCTTACAGATTGGCCACATCAGTGCCGCATTATAAATAAAAAGCATATAAAATGCAACACATCGAACATCAACAAAATGAAGATATATTAAGTACAATAAACTGTTTAAAAAACTATTAAACTATATCCCTTAATCTGTGGCCATCCTTCACATTGTATTGTTGAAGACTTTCATGGCCAGAATCACTGGGTTGTTGTAGGTTTTTTTGGGCTATATGGCCATGTTCTAGAGGCATTCTCTCCTGACGTTTTGCCTGCATCTATGGCAAGCATCCTTCACACTGTTGCATGTCAATCCAGTATTGCACTGTTCTCGAATGCCTGGTCCCAGAGCCAAGTCTTAACTTTTTTCCTAATGACCAGAAAGGAGGGGGGCAATCTGATATCATTGGAGATGGAGTTCCATAACTGAGGGGCCACTACAAAGAAGGCCTTGTTTCTTGGCCCCACCAGTTGCATTTGCAAAGAAGGTGTGACCGAGAGCAGGGCCTCTCTGGCAGATCTTAATGCTCTAGATCAGTGGTTCTCAACTTGTGGGTCCCCAGGTGTTTTGGTCTACAACTCCCAGAAATCCTAGCCAGCTTGTCAGCTGTTAGGATTTCTGAGAGTTGAAGGCCAAAACATCTGGGGACCCCAGGTTGAGAACCACATGCTCTAGATGGTTCATTGAGGGAGATGTGTTCAGACTGGTAAGTTGGACCAGAACCATTTAGGGTTTTATAGGCTAAAGCCGGCACTTTGAATTGTGCTCAGTAGCAAACCAGCAGCCAGTGGAGCTGACATAACTGGGGGATTGTATGCTCTCTGTACGTCCCTCCAGTGAGCAACCTGGCTGCTTGGAGGTTCTGGACAGTCTTCAAAGGCAACCCTACGTAGAGTGAGGGTTCTTCTTGAACTAAGGTGCCCAGAACTTGACAGTCCATAACTGAGAGTATTTCAGTTGTTGACTATCACTGATTCTTTGGTGTTCTGTAAAGTCTTTCTTACAGAGATCCAGCATGATGTGATGGTTTAAGCATTGGACTATCACTCTGGAGATCAAGGTTTCAATCTCTGCTCAGCCATGGAAGTCCACTGGGTGGCCATTAGCAATTCACTCTCTCAGCACAGGAGGCAGGCTCCTTCTGAACAAATCTTGCCAAGAAACCCCATAATAGTTTTACTTTAGGGTCACCATTTGTTGGCAATGACTTGAAGGCACAGAATAAGAAACACATTTTGTTTATTTTATAGTTCCTTCTAAAATATCATTGGTTAAAACTATTATGTAATACATATACTCTTTAACACTTTCTGCTGACCTTATTGTTTTCTTCTTTGCTGTTCTGATGTTTTATAATATTTTTGCTTCACTTTATTTTTGCATTCCATGTTTTTGACCTTGAAAGCCAACCTGATCATTTTTTAAGTGAATACCACTGTATGAATCCTTTGGTTTCAAGTTTCAAGTACAGACAAAGAAAATAGTACCCTCAATCCCAATGAAATCAATATGACAAAATAATTAATTGCAATTAATTTGGGTCCCCCTTACTTCCATGAAATGTTAGTGTGATGAACTTCAGACAGAATAGATTAATAATAAATTTAATGTATTAAATTTAATAACCGTTAATTAATTAAATTTAATAACATTTAATTAATTAAATGTAATAGTTTCCCAGGTGGGGATTGCTGGAAGACAATGGCTTGCCTCATGCCTTTGTTCATTGTAGAATTGACTTTCATTTAACTCCAGGCTGAATGTGACACTAGTATATGGCAATGGATCCACATCCCATTGCGACTGAGATGATGAGAGGGATAGGAGCCCATTTCTCAAATCTACAGTGACACAGACTTTCAAAAATTGTATCTGCTAGGATACTTGTGGCATATTTGCATCTGGTAGCATCTTGTTTGTCTCAAGTTGTGTTTTTTTGGCACAGTAGAGAAGATAGTCACCCGGAGCCTTAAGTGGCGTTAATCAATTCTTTAAAAATGCATCTATGAAGGATGGTGTGAATGTGATAAAATAAGACTTCTTGGAAATTTGATGAGTGCAAACAGATGACGGGTGACAGTGATATTTTCAGTACAAGCCGAGGGAACTGATTTCTTAAGGCTCTTTATACCTCCCTTGACATTTTAATGAGGCACATGACAAAACCTATCTCTCCCACCCCCCACATGTAACTTGTTAAGGAAATAAGTTTCTCTAAAAGTTGCAATGCAAATATGTACAGAAGAGTTTGGATTAGTGACTAAGAGTGAAGGGCATTAGCTTCCACTCATTTTCCTTTGACTCCATCTTTTCAATAGCATGGTGCTCCGATTCTTCGTGAGATTGATCCTATCTCCTAACTTTTCTACAGAGTTTGGGAAATACTTTTCTTCTGATTTTGTAGTTATGACACTTATACTTTCTAAGAAGTGAGATCTTAGTGGAACATTGGTGTCTATCAGAGGATCCAGCACCATTTATTCCAGTGGTTCCCAACTTTTTTTTTGACCAGGGACCAAGACCACTTTGACCAGGGACCACTCTCCAACATTAGTACCAAAAGGGTTACAAATCAGTTTTTGGTCAACTTTAGATTAGGTTTGGTAATTTAAGGTGCTGATTCAGAAAATTGCATTGAATAGAACCATCTGTTCTAGTTTATGATACAGAATATATGCCATCCAGTAGTCGCCATCTACTCACCCACAGAAAACCATATTTGATCATCTAGTAGTAGTAATCTTCCGTGGGTGGTCAGCCTCTCCTCTCCTGACATCCCCATTGTCTTGTCACTATAAGAGGGTTTTGTGAGACCAGTCACTCTCGTTGCCTTGAGGTTTTGAGGCAACAGTGTAGTAATAGTGAGGCCATGGACCATAATTTTTTTCTTGGGGACCACTGGTGGTCCATGAACCTTAGGTTGGGAACCACTGATTTATTCCATGATCTCTTGACTCCTTCACCCCAATATATGCTATGACATGTTTAATATGTTTAAACCATAAGGACCTCATCTGGTGACCTCTGGAAACTTTTCTCTCATGTTGTTGCTTCATGTGGTGAATTATTATTGATGGTTAAGATAAATATTAGTGTTATATTGGTGTTGGGAGAATATACCTTTATTGAAACAGCTTCACAGGCTGCCAGTCCATTTCAGGCACAATTCCCAAACCACTGTTCTGACCTATAAAGTTCTGTATACTTTAGGTCCAGATTATCTAAAATCCTGTATCTCCCCATAAGGGCCTGCCTGAAGGAGGAAATGCTCCCCAGCCCACTGACCTCCTAGTATTATCAGGATAGTACAAGGGAGGGAGTCTTCTCAGTTGATCTCCCTATGCTGTGAAACTCCCTTCACTAAAAAACAAATTAAGAAAAAAAATAGTTTTAGGATTATTTAATCAGGCCTCAATCCTAAACTGATTTGGGTAGATGAAGATGCAATGTATGGGGTGAAAAGTGACTCAGGATCTGAAGGAGACAGAGCAATAGAAGGATGAAGCTCTGTTCCCAAGAGATGAATTGAGATCTTTGCCAAAAGTGACCAGTTTTTCTCCTGGTAACTTTTTTTAGAGAGAGAGAGAGAATAATGTGTTGAAAAAGAAAGGTTGCAGTCCTACTCTCTAGCAGCTGATCTGTACACACAGATATATACACACCGATTCTGTTTTATCAGATACACTTACTTTCTCCTTGCATTCTTATGGCTCCGGGGATCTTTAAAATGAAAGACTGTTTGATTGTGAGCTATGGGTCTAAAAGCTTATGAGGTACTAAAATGGATGTGTATGGTACCTAAGGGTTCAGTCGGCTCACAGTGTTAAATGGCATGTTTTAAACTCAGGCTTGGGAGTATATGCCACAGACTGAGCTATACTTGAGAAGTGTGGCTAGGAGTGTGTTGGGGGAGAGGGGATATTATTGAGCAGAGACCTATTTCAAGCATTAAAAGGTGAGGCTTTAAAAGTTTCCCAAGACATGAAAGTGCCTGGTAGCACCCCAGAGAGACTTTGAGGGCACCATTGGCTATTAGAGAGGAGAAACACAACCAAATATTTTCACCCTCACCATTTTTGATGTGAAGGAACCCAGTGTAGCTTCAAAATGGTTTGGGGCACTTTTCCCACTACTTCATCCAAGATTTTTTTCCTTATTATCCAACCTGGAGAAATAGTGTTTGTATATGTGCTTTCCGTGTTAACGGAGGCCTGTGCCCCAACCCCAGTGAATGTAGAGGGCTGGCCATACTGGACAGATTGTTTGCAGAGATAGCATACACTTTTCAGTCAGCAGAAATTCCCACCATTTCTCTTGGTTCTGAGAGGCAGTTCCCAATTTAGATAACAAGGCTATTATTGAGTGTACAAAAAGGTTGCCCTTCTTAATATTTGAAGAGAATGGAAACATCTCCAAACAGTTTGGGAAATATAAAATGTCTGTTGCATGTCCTCTCACAGATACTGATTTCTCCTATATATATTTATATTCATTAGCACTGTAAATGCTGGGGTATTTATTCACACTACCATTCCCACTTCTCTTTTCTTGTAACTATGTAGTATGCTTTGTGGTATTATAAGTAGGATGGTTTAAATGACCTCCACCCCATATTTAAGGCTCCTATAAGGAAGTTCAGACTTCAGTGTAGACTTCATCAACTGATTAACTGGGTTACTTAAAATGCCTGTAATGTCTATATATTTTTTTTCATACAGGTGACTGGTTTCCAAATATTCTAAATGAGGGCAAATTGGAGAGATTCTACTTTTTCTTGGCCTCGTTAATGATGATTAATACTTTGGGCTTCTGGACTATTTCACATAGGTAAATCCTTGGACATTCAGCATTTACTTCTGCTTCTACTAGGAGAAACATTTTCCACTTAAAGGAGTTTTGCGTGCTTCCAGTAGTATTGACTCCAAGGACATGGGGATGACCATAATTCTGCTGAGGCCTCTGACCCTGTCTTCTCAGACTTGGAGTATGGCAGTAATGCCAGAAAAATTGTGTCAAAGGAAGTTCCTAATGCAGAAGGAGAGATCCCCTCAGGAAGTAAGACTGGCTAGAGTTGGCTCACTCCAATACCTTCTCTAAGTCTATAGCTTTATACAAACATGGAAAATCTAATGCTAAGAAAACAAAAGGTGTTTGGGTGACTGGGCCATTGGTTCATTTGGCATAAAAGCATTAAATCTATTCCCTTTTCTTATTCTTCCCAAATAGTTTTGATTGGATTTAAAGATTAAAGATAGTTGACACACCCAAATAATAGATTGCACTGTACAGACAGCATGGTGCAGAGGTTTGAGTATGAGTGGCCCTAAAAACTCACTTAAGGACTTTGGATGAGTCACATTCTCTCAGCCTCAGAAATGGATCATAGGTCCACCATAGAGTAGCCAGAAGTCAGAAACAAATTGAAGCACTCAACAACAAACCGTATAGTAAAAGAGATTTAATTTATTTTTGTTGTTCAGATACAATAACCTCTGGCAAGACTATGGTGAAGGATTCGAAGGGAGTCTTCTTCAAGAACAACTTTTACAGCATGAGAAATCACTTGAATTTTATGACAGTATCCTAGATTGTCCTACTCCATTGTCTCCTGTGGAGACTCTCCTGTGAAATCTTGCTCAAAAATCATCTGGTTGAACACTCCATGGAGTTACTTAGTTGTCAGAGTATGGTCTGTCAGATTTTAACAATGCATTGTATACTATGTTTATGAATAGACTTAACAATAATAGATTGTTGTTTGGCTTTTGTGTGTGTGTGTGTGTGTGTGTAGCTGACTAGATTACTCAGCAGTAGACCCTGTTCTTCAGCTATTCTATGTTGAGGCCCCTCAACTGACAGAGACTTTTAACTGCAATATTTATCACTTCTTGTATTGTATGTGTGACTTCACTCCTAAAATGACATTTTGTATTTAATAAAGTATCCTATAACACAATCTTGAACCATACTGCCAAGTCTCTTTTTTGTGCTAAATGGGTTTCTGTAGGGGTTCCTGGGAAAGAGAATATGAGCAGTGACAAGAAACAGCACCGATAATAGTAATGCATGTGATGCAGAAATGCAGAGAAGCATCTGGCTCTCTCCCTATGACCAGATGGGAAGTGAAAACATCATCTACTAAGGTCTCCATTCCTTTTTTGCCAGTCCACAGGATCCGTAGAATTCTTCTCCAGCACCACATCTCAATTATTCATTTTCTTCCTTTTACAACCATACATACAAAATGGAAAATACAATGTCATGGACCATCTTAACTTTAGTATTCAATGATCTATCTGGACACTTCAAGATCTTCTCTGGTTCCTTCACAGCTGCTCTTCCAAATCTTAGTTTTCTTCCGATTTCTTGACTGCAGCCTCCATTCTGAGCCAAGGTATGAAAACCCCATTTCAATGCCTTCATTGTCTTCCTAAAAGTTATGTTATTAATCTGTGGCTGTTATGTTTGTTTTCTTAATGTTCAGCTATAAACCTGTCATAGCACTTGACTCCTTGAATGTCTTCAGTAACACCGGCCAAAACACATTTTGGTGCCTCAAATGTTAGCAGTTCCTAGGTATATTTGAATTACTGATTCCAAAAATGGCACTAGTTTTCCTCTATTAGCTCTAGGTTTTGGGATACAGAACATAACAATCCACTGGCTGCCCGTCTGCTACTGAGCACAATTCAAAGTGCTGGCTTTGGCCTATAAAGCCCTAAATGGTTCTGGATCAATTTACCTGTCCGAACGTATCTCCCCCTATGAACAACTTGGAGATTACAACTGTCCAGAAAGGCCCTGCTCTTGGTCCCACCTCCTTTGCAGGTGCAGGGCCTTCTCAGTGGTGGTCCCTCGGCTGTGGAACTCCCACCCCAGCAATATCAGATCAGCCCCTTCCCTCCTGACCTTCAGAAAGCGAGTGAAAATGTGGCTTTGGGATCAAGCCTTTGGAGATTAATACAGTGCAATAAATGGATTTGGAACTATGTGCAATGACTACCAGAATGATTGTGGATAGCATGGTTTTGTAGAAATAATTATAATATTTTAAATGTTTTAATGTTTTCTAACCTTTTAAAAAAATTAATTGAAATTTTTCTTTAATTTTGTATTGTTTTTACACCATTGAATTATTGCCTGTGCTTTAAGCCGCCTTGAGTCCCCTTCGGGGTCAAGAAAGGCAAGATATAAATATAGTAATTAAATAAATAAATATGGCAGCTCCCAATCACTATCTACTCACCCCCAGAAAACCATAATAATCATATCTAAGAAATTGGAGTTGATGCGGTCCATCCAATGCAATTTTCTGAATCAGTGTCCCAAATAACCCCAGGAACAGGCCTAAAAATCGATACACCAAGGAAACATTTTTTTTTTGTTAGACTGTGTAATTGTTCCTAGTTTTTGCTATTCTACAGCACGGATCTATTACTCATCATCTCAGCCCACTAACTAGTTGTTAAGCCTTTTCAGTCTGCACAGCAACAGACAAAACAAGCTTCCTTTTATATCTCAGCAGATGACCAAACATGCTGTGAATGAGTTAAATGGACCTGATGAAATACATTACATGTGGCTTTTTAAAAAAGAAAATTGAATCAGTTCCAAATACTACAAGCAAGGCAAAGCATGTGGGACATTGTCTCAGGTAGAATGCGAGGGAGAGGGGGGTAGCAAAAAGGGGTGTAGAGAGAGAGATCAGTGGCAGGGATTAAGCTATCCATCTGTTGAGTTTGCACTGATGATGGAGCACATGTTCTCCATTGCAATGAGATGCGTTAAAAGAGCATTTTTCATTTCCAGTGCCTAGCAACAAAGTCATTCAGCACCTGCAATAGTTTAAACATTAAGTATAATTGGCTTTGCTTGACATAAATCTGCAGTTTTGTAAATAAGAACAGGGTAGTCTTAGCGTCATACCAATTAGCAGAAAGGAATGCTTGCTTTACTGATGCCTGCTGTTTTTGGAGAGGATAGATGGGTCTCTTCATTTATTTATTTTCAAGTCTTCTAAACTAGTCTTTCTTTTATCCTCAAAAGTGATCTCAGGGTGGTGCACATAAAACAGAGTGGCTGCTATCCTGTGTTATGATTGTGTAGCATAAATCCAGACTTGGGTAGTGATAGAGTGATTGCCGCTGGACCACCCTTTCCTGAAACTGGCGTAGGGCAAACTATTATTTATCTGGCAGTGTTCCTGGTTATTGTTCCACTGTGCAATGGACAATTCACAGCGGCTGTATCTGCAATTTTAGAGAATCAGGGGCTCCATTGAAGACACTGATGAATAATCACAGACAATTCAAAATGTACAGCTCCTTGTGAAATTATTACACTTGTGTAACTTGGCTTACACAACCATAAATATCCATCACTCAGAGGTAAGAATATCTGTTTGTCTAAGGGAACATATACGTGTGCATGACATCAATTGGGTTTCAGCCAACATAAAACAGCAATGATAAAAATCAGGAAGAGGTGTATAAGACTTAAAAGAACAAATGAACAGAATCATTCAACCTAGTTGGGGTCTTCTAAATGTACAAATGCTAAAGTCTTCAATGTATTGTCAAAGGCTTTCATGGCTGAGATCACTGGATTGTTGTGTGTTTTCTGGGCTGTATGGCCATGTTCCCGAAGCATTTTCTCCTAGTTTCAAACAGACCTCATAACCTCTGAGGATGCCTGCCATAGATGCAGGCGAAATGTGAGGAGAGCATGCTTCTGGAACATGGCCAGACAGCCCAGAAAACTCACAGCAATCCAGAATACGGCCATGAAAGCCTTCAACAATACATTGAAGACTGATATTAATAAATTTAGAAGACCCGCAGCAACCCATTAAAGTCTTCTTCAAAACAGGATTTGGGTAAGTGCTCCGAAGTGAAGACAAGCATTTCTTTTGTAGATGGATAGAGAACTCCCGATGGTGATACAAATAGAATGGTGTTCTTTGAATTCCTTGACAGGATGTCATGGGATGATGTCTTCTGAGGCTCTTTTAGGAATTTAGTGGTGATCACCAGACCTTTGATATTGGCAGGAACTTAATCAGGAAATCAATGCAATTTTTAATGAGTTCTCTTCATTTGCACAGAGTTCTCTGAGTCAGATTTTAAGCAATTTTGAGCAATCTCCTGCATCAATTTCAAGGAGAGGTCAAGGTATAACATCATAGCAATACAATGTGGAGATGATCTCACCAGCAAGACCTCAGCAAACCAGATGCAGTTAGTAAAAAGTGTTTCATGTCAATAAAGTCACCTTAATCTGAAAGTGAAAGTATCTATCAACTGTGGTTGGTAGTTCCCATTTCAGAAGCACAATTGACCCCACCTTCAGGTTTTGAAAGAGCCATCCAAGGTACTGGACCAATTTTTTTTTGTGGGGGGGGGGGGCATGATTCACCATCTTGGATAGCTCTTTTTATGTCTCAATTAAAATTTGAAATGAATTGACTGTCCCACTAACACTGCCCTCATAGCACTGCTTTGAATTAAATAGTGTTCCAAAATGTGGCCTAAATCAAGAATAGGAACCATGAAGCTCTCCAGATCTTGAAAGAGTACATATCCCGTCATTCCTTGTCATTCACAATGCTATTTAGGGATAATGGGGGTTGCAGTCAGTCAACATCACCAGTGGGACTGCATTTTCCCCACCTTTGATTTAGGCTGCTTTATATTGCATAGTCTTTTATCAAAGCTTAGAAAGCTAGTTTCCTGAAATGCCCTCAGTTCTGTTGAGATTCAACTTCAAACCTCCAATTTTTATAGTTGTAAATACCTTTTGAGTAAGCTGTAAAAAGGTAGAAGATAAAACATGTAATGTACCTCTACATTATCAAATCGCATATAAATGATCTATTATCTATTTGTCATTTATCTAAATAATAATATCTAACCATCTGTATGTAATGTCCATATGTAATGTCTATTATTGTTTTCTCTTTTTCTAAATTATAATATCTACGACACCAAATATCCAATTGATTATGTACTTTAAATAGTTGGTGTGCATGTGTACACAATATAACCCCCCCCCCCATGAGACCTCAATCCACAGTTTCATGTATCCACTTCTGACCAAATATAGCCTTTCTAAGCACTTGCTAAGTGATTTGGTATCACTCTGTGGCAGGCATGGGGCAAACTTCAGCCTGCCAGGTGTTTTGGACTTCAACTCCCACCATTCCTAACAGATGATGAGCTGGTTGGGATTTCTGGGAATTGAAGTCCAAAAAACTGGAGGGCCGAAGTTTGCCCATGCCTGTTCTATGGTATTCTTGAGCTGGAAAGCCTTCAATTCAACCAGGTTCACAGTCTTCCGTAATTTTGTGTATTCATGCAAAGTCCAGGAAGGTATCCCGATGGACACAGAAGTCATCTTGTATGTATATTGGGAGAGGGTGGTGGTGATGATTGGTTGAAGGTTAAATAAGAATGTTTAAAATGTCAAAAAAACGTTTTTCATATGTTTGTGTGTATATATGAATGTATAGAAGATTGAGTGAGTGAGCAAGCGAGAGAGAGGGAGAGAGATCATAATAAATAAATAGATGACAGAGAGAGAATAGGCAGATATTTCCAACAGGAAGAATTCCGGTGATTTTCATGAGGTGTGTATAGTTGCATAATTTTAAGAAATGTGAGAATATTGCATTCTTAAAA